GTCAACAATCTCTTCTTGATTAGTTTCTATCATCATTAATTTTCCCCTTAAAGAATTTGTTGGGGTTCTACTAGGAGTAGAATTTCTAGTAATTACTTTATCGATAACAATGTCACCATTCATCAGGTAAGGGTCGATAAAGTCACAATTTTCTGCTGTAACAGTTTCATTTTTTTTTTATTTTTTCATTCAACAGAAATGATGGATAGTTAGGTTGTACCGGTGAAGTATTTCTTGACAAATTCACCAGTCGTTCCAATTCGACTTCCATCAATGGTTTGAATTACCATCATCAGTTTATCTTTCATTTCTTGAGTGATAAGAAACTGGGATTCCTTCATGTATTCCAACAGCTGCTCTGGTGTAACTACTGATGAAGTCTCCCATCTCAGTGCTTTCGAGCAGAGCTTGATTGCATTATTAGTTCTTGTTTGTCCGGAGTATCTGCGAATTGCAATCGAGCATCAGGGATTCCGGACACGTAGTAGACGACATAAGCTGCATAAATGAGTAACATGGATGGGCTGCTGCATGGAATCAATCTAGCATAGATGGATCTTCTTTGTCCCATCAGTACTCCGATAAATTGGCACCAGTTGAACAGATTAGGGTTTAGTGAAGCAGAATATGGTGAACGAGGGATAAGGTTCACTTCTCGCATATACTGGAAATAGCTGTATTCCTCGTTCTTTTCCTCAGTTGCTGGTCCCCAAATTATTCTTCTCACATCTTCTGCAATTTGGGGACTGTAAATGTATTGAACAAGTGTTGCGGGGTTGAGTGCGAAGGCTTGAGCAGCCTGGTTCAATGATGTCAGCATTACACAGTCCTTCATGAAGCTTCCCAATGTGCAAGCACGGAACTTTTCTAACTTATGGTTAGTGAACCTACGAAAGAACATATCTACCGCAGCTACCAGTGTACAATAGTTGGTGTCTTGGATCCAATGTGGGACATTCATTACTCCTGCAGTAGAATCCGAACTGAAGGGCGGCATTCTAAATACGAGCTTGTTCGCCGAATCGGGGAAGTGAGGAAAACTGAGGAAAAGAGCGAGGAATACAGCTATTTCCAGTATATGCGAGAAGTGAACCTTATCCCTCGTTCACCATATTCTGCTTCACTAAACCCTAATCTGTTCAACTGGTGCCAATTTATCGGAGTACTGATGGGACAAAGAAGATCCATCTATGCTAGATTGATTCCATGCAGCAGCCCATCCATGTTACTCATTTATGCAGCTTATGTCGTCTACTACGTGTCCGGAATCCCTGATGCTCGATTGCAATTCGCAGATACTCCGGACAAACAAGAACTAATAATGCAATCAAGCTCTGCTCGAAAGCACTGAGATGGGAGACTTCATCAGTAGTTACACCAGAGCAGCTGTTGGAATACATGAAGGAATCCCAGTTTCTTATCACTCAAGAAATGAAAGATAAACTGATGATGGTAATTCAAACCATTGATGGAAGTCGAATTGGAACGACTGGTGAATTTGTCAAGAAATACTTCACCGGTACAACCTAACTATCCATCATTTCTGTTGAATGAAAAAATAAAAAAAAAATGAAACTGTTACAGCAGAAAATTGTGACTTTATCGACCCTTACCTGATGAATGGTGACATTGTTATCGATAAAGTAATTACTAGAAATTCTACTCCTAGTAGAACCCCAACAAATTCTTTAAGGGGAAAATTAATGATGATAGAAACTAATCAAGAAGAGATTGTTGAC